TTTGCCACTGATTACAAGCGAAGCGCTCTAGAACCGACTCGGGCATGCCTCAGGCATCTCAGGTAGCTCTGGTAGCTCTGGTAGCTCTGGTTCTTGTTGCTAGTGCGTTGGGAAATCGCGGAAAAGTTCCATCAACGTCATGCAGCCAGCCACTCGCTGTCCAATCACGTTTTATTTGATTTAATTCTCTGGCTGCCAAATCTGGAGTAAAAGTTCAACGACTAATTTATACCCGGCGCAAGAAATTAACGAGCACGTGGATCACCCACGAAAAGTTGAACAGAACCGAGAACATTTCACATACGCTCAACCAGCGTGTGGCAGCTTCAACTGTATTCGGGCTGAGTGCGTAGGGCTAAGGGTAAGGTTGGGGACGAGGGAAGAGTCACTCACCCGCACCAGCAGCAACCAACAACCCACTCTTTGGGTTTCTCAAACAAAAGAAAAAACATTCGAAATTCAAAAAAAAACTTTCGAAACTGTTTGTATTCGTGTGTCGAGAAGGCATTCCCATTTACAACTAAGTCGCTGAATGAATAATCAATAGGAACAGATGTTTAAAAGCGCAATGCACTCGCCCTGCAATAAGGTTGTATACGAAATGCAAGAATGCTTTGTAAGTCTCATGTGTGTGACAGGTTGCCACAGATGTGGCATATGTACATATGTATGTATGTGTCTCTGGTTTCGATAAGTTAGAATGTTCTAGTCGAGACAGCTCTTGAATACACAGCAGTCTTGCCGATATTTAGTTTGTTTAAAATTGAAAATATGTTTTTGTTTATGTTAACTAAATCTGTGATTGTTTTTGATCGATCACAGTAATTACATTTACGGTTTATCCATAATATATTGGCATATAATTTATAATAAAAAATTATCGATAAAATAAAATAATCTGGTATACGATAACTTATATTCAATATTCGCTTATAATCTCTCTCTGAGATCGTCTTATTCACACGGATAGTTGGATATGTCAGTTGATGTTAATCAAGAATATATTATTATATATATAATATAATATATACTTATCGGGTCTGCCTGTTACATACAACATTTCTACAACTTTCTTAAACGCTTTTCCTCATTTTAAATGGGCTTAAAATGTGTTCAAAAATGGCACTCAGCGTCACCTTTGTAGTTCTGTGAGTTTATTTAAAATATTTTTTAATGACTAATTTATTGATTTATCTTTATTTGACTCTTTCCCCTTATGTATGAATTTGTCAACTCACTCAAACATAACTTTCTGAACATTCCACTAACCAATTTCCAAATTTCTTTCCAGTTTGGTTTCTAGATTAACATGCCAATTAAATTGATTTTGGCAATTTGTTTAGCATATTATATTATGTATTAATTTCAGGTGAATCTTAGCTTAACTATCGCCATATTCTTAATGCCCCAAGTGGGCCATTTGCCACATTGGTTTACAGTTAAGTGCTGAAACTGGGTTTATTAGCGTATCAAATTAGCCGAAACTTGATTCTAGCAATGATGAGAGTCAAGTGGCTAAATTGCCAACACAACATAATTAGCAGCAAGTTGTGTGGCAATGCCACATTTCAAGTCTTGGCAAAAAAAAACCCGCTAACTGTTAAAAAAAAATACAATATTGCAGCTAAAGTGCAGCATTTGCATGGCCAAGTCCAAGAGCAGTAAAAAAAATAAAAAAATACTGTTATTCATGCAGAAAATATAATGGAAAAAAGAAAAAACAAACGCTGGCCAAAACATTGACCCACATTTTTAAATGTCGCTCGAATCGCTCAAGATCACTTTTTCTGATGCTTCTTTTATTTCTTGATGTTTGTCGAATTTGTGCAAACATTGCATAAGAATTAATTTCCAAGCGGCAGCCGTTAAAAGTGAATCTGCCAAAAACAGAAAAAATCCAATTCGATCGAATTACAATACAAATTCAAGGGATGGGGTATGGAGTAGGGGCACGGGCAGGGGCAGACTGACAGTTGTGCCAACAAATGTTGGATGCGTTTTCTGGTTTTTTTTTTACCTTTCCGTGGCACGTGGCTAAAAACAAAAGGTGCAAAAGAAAAAGGAAAACCGAAATGAAGTAGAACGAATTCGATAGCTACACAAAAAAAAAAAAAAAAAAGGAAAACCATTTGAAAAGTGAAAAGCAAAAACGGAAGCGCCAAGAACGTAGCAAAACAGCCGCATATCCGGTTATGTGGGGATTCGGCTAAAAAGCCGGGGCAAACAAACTAACGGGGCCATATGGGAAATTCTGTTTAACAGTTTTACTATCCACTCTACTATCCTTAAAAAATGTATAACGTTTTTTTAGAGTAGAAGCTTAAGTTTGTTTCTTTTTTTTTCAAATTATAACTAAGCAAATTTCTGATTGATGGAAATTACTTTTCAGCACAACAAAGACAAGAAATATTAACAAAAATCTTAATATTGTTAGCAATACATTTAACACTGATAAGAGTTAAGTATTAAGTCATTTGGTATGGTTACTATATTTATAAGATCCCTTTTATTTGTAAGCTAATTATATTTAAATATAAATGCATAAATAAATCATTATTAAATAGGAAACTTAAAAAATGTGTATTCGAGTAGAATCAACCAGTTCTTAGCATCATCTCGACATCAAAACAACAACTAACTTTTAATAAAATAAATAATAAAACAAAATTTAAAATACCAACCGAGTCTTCCTATAGCAGCTATATAATATTTTAGTTAGTAGCCAAAATGTTACTTAAATGAGTTTCGTAAGCATTCCTTGGCCGACCAAAAAGTTTTTCAACCAAGAAGTCATCCTTCGACAGATTATTCCTGTGGCAGCTATGTGAGAAATAACTCGACTAGTGATGCTGATCAATAATCTATGCACTTTGTGAGTTAGGAGAAATCTTCTTTCGACGCAACCAAATCCAAAGCTACAAAAATCTTATGACAATTTAGTTTAAGACAAGCAAAATTTTGTCAGATTTCGATGTGTTTTTTTTTTTTGTTTTCTTCCAGCATTATCTCAACATTGTACAGTAGTGGATGTTGCCACAGATCATTTGCTCTTAAGCGGCGCCAGCGCGTGCCAAGGAAAGGGTTCCCTTTTTTGGGCTCGTGTCTGGCAACAGCCGCTCCAACCGGAAGTCCTTTTGTATGTGACAACGCTGGCTGCTGTAATAAAACGAAAGGATTTATATTTCCTATTGTGCCGTCAAATATCTTGTAATCTTCCAACGCGCCAGCTGACTTACATTCATATTATTTTTAAGAAGTTTTTACCCAAAAAGAAACATACTCAAATTCTGCAACGTTTTTGAGTTTCAGTGTTTTGTGCGTTTTTTTTTTTTAATTTTTGCCGACTCGTTTTTGTGGTGTCGCATTTCGCGGAAGCAGGCAACGATTTGCTGACTCATGCCACCGCTCGTTTATCCTTTTTATGAGCTGCCCGAGCATTTTGCGGCTTAAGCCTTCCTCACCTGTCTGTTGGCAGCGGCGGATTAGGCCACTGTCAAATATCACGTAAAGTGGGCAGTGGCCATCGTTGTCGCCGTCGGGCTAAAAGATCATTAATTTGGCTCTTATGGCACATAAAGACATTAAGCCACACTCAACGAAAAAATAGAGATTTTTCTTAACTTAAATCAAGTACAGATGAAAATCCATTTCTGTAAATCCCAAAAGACCTGAATGTAAAATTGTTTTGGATAAAGCTAGGTGCGATTGAGTTTATTTAAAAATAGTTGTGCTCTTAAACCACATTTGAATATTTAACATATTTTTCTAAAGCCAAACACTTGATTATTATGACACTTATTTTAGGCAACCAATTTCTTGGATTAGTCCTTTTATCGTCTTCAAGTAGCACTTAGCAGCTTGTCTCAAAAAATGAAGTTTGTAAATTTTGGATTCCTTAAAAAAGGACAGATGTTTCTTAAGTGAAATACTTGATTATTAGAACTTTTATTTTAAGCAATAAGCTCTTAGATCAGTCAGTTAGATCAAGACGTTTAAGCTTAAGCAGCTCGACTCCTGCAATTAAGTTTGTAAATATCAAATTGCATAATAGTTTTAATAGTTGGATTATATAAAAAAGTACAGATTTCTCTTAGTTAATAATACTTATTATTGATTATTAGGATTCTTAAGAAATGAACACTTTTACACTAAATTGATGTACAAAAATGCTTGTGCTTGATCCAAGAATTGTTTCCCTTTATGCAACATTAAAATTTTTAAATCAAAAATAAATTCTCGTTTTACTAGATTTTTTCTTCAAGTGCAAAATGTGTGTGTTTTGTCAAAGTAGGCAGCAGCGAAAAACAGTTAACATGTGTATTTGTGCAAGCTACTTGTTCTTGGTCGGCGTGTTTAAATTAATTTTAGCCAAGTCATCAGCTCAATTAGCTGCGGCCCAAAAAATGTAGGTGGAGCCACTCGCCGCAGGATCTCAGCAATGGAAATGAACCACCAATAGGCAAAGCGCTCTACCTGCCTAGCACACACACACACACACACATATGCGCAGGAAGATCGTCACTCACACACACACACACACACACACACACACACATTGACAGAGGCATAACGAGGGCACTCGATCGTGTCGCAATTTGACAAAAACAGCTGTTTCTTGAATGAAACCCAGGTGGAGGCGGGCATGTGTGTGTATATATGTGTATGCGTAATGCCCTCATACCTTTTTAGTCAGCCATAAAGAGAGCGCGCGTGAGAGCGAGAGAGAGAGTGTGAGATTCAGTTGATCACATGAATGAAATGTTTGCCGCTGCTCTCGCTCTCGCTCTCGCTCTCGGTCTCGCAACGAATTTCAAGAGCAACAGCTAAGAGCAACACACCTGCCATCTATCGTACTCTTTTGCGCCCGCACACTCTTACCGAAGTGTCGCGTCGCTTAAGCTTCCGACTGAGACCGCATATCGTGCGCCGTTGGCTGCTCTCTGCACACACTCTCTCAGATTCATATAAATAACACTGTATGGGCAACGTTTTGAATCATAAGATCGACAACGTTCGACGTGTGCAGATCAGTGCGAACTCACAACTTATTACAACACAAAAAGAAGCACAAGAAAAAGACTAAAAAAAAACACTTGTGAAGTTTTCTTTGACGTGAATTTACACAAATCTTTTTGCTCGCAAAGCCAAACAAAATTCACAAATAAAAAACAATAGGCTCACGCCGCTTAAATTAATAAACAATCAAGTTTATTCAAGACAACAACAACATCAAGAAAAAAAGAATTATTTAATGGATTTGAAGTGTCAGTGACTCTATATACAAAAAACTATTGACATCCCAAAAAACGAAAGAGCAACAAAAAGCTAAAAATATATAAATATAAACATACACACGCGCACCACTGTATAATCAGTCAATAACAACAACAACAACAATAACAACAACTACAACTGGTGATAATAAAAGAACTTACAACAAAAAATAACAACAACAACCCCAGCGAAGCCGAAGCAGAAGCTGAGTTTTAAATTAAACAAAGGAGAGATACAAAAAAAAAACAAAAAAAATATTTATTCGTGTTGATATCATTCAAGTATTTTCGTTGAAATTACACACGGCATTTAAATTTATATAAATAAATAATTATGGCTGCTTACTTGGATCCTACTGGACAATACTGAAAGAAGAAGAACTCGTCATTTTAGTTTTTCTGTCTCTACTCTAAAGTAATCATCTTTAAAATGGCCTTCTACCTGGATCCCACGGGTCAATATTGAACAAACTAGAAAACTATTTTTAACGCTTTTCCACACTGTAAAAGAAAAATCCACAAAATGTCGCTGGCTTTGGATCCCACTGGCACCTACTAAAAACGCAACTAGACCAACTTAAAGTCTAAAATTTGATATTGATTTGCTTATCAAAGAAAAAGGAGATAAAAAAAGAAATAAGAAAAAATGCTGGATCCCACGGGTACCTATCGTCGTCCGCGTGACACGCGTGACACGCGCCACAAGCAGCGACAGGCAGTTGTCGCCTTGGATCCCACTGGGCAATATTAGGGCGTAAGCCACACCCACAATCCACAATCCACATCCATTTTTGCCTTATCCACGAAGGAATTCTGGACATGATTGGCGGCGCTCGTTGGTTGCGCCTCCGAGGACGCGAGGAGACATCCAGCTGTCGGCGCCGAAGAAAGTCGCCTTAATTGCAATGATTGCAATTGTAAACATTTAGTTTGACTCTTTGACTATTATGCATTAAATTATTTATTATTATCATTATGATTATTATTATTATTATTATTATTTAAATTAAATAATTGTTCACAAACGAAAAGCTGTTCAGCATTCATGCAACAAATATCCTATCATAAAGCACAACCATAAACAAAATACATATCTCTACTATAACAACTAATTTATCTAATTTGTTTTTAGAAAACTATGCAAAACAAAAAAGAGTATTAAATTTAGTGTCATATTTATGCGCCAACAACTTTTGTCAGCAACATTTTACTTGTTGAACACATATAATTTTTTTTATTTATAATTTCTTTAAAATTATTATTTTTGCAAACGTTTTTTCCTAGTTTTTATCTCTTCTTTTTTTTTTGTTGTAAAAACTAATTATGCACAAATTTTGTAGGCATTTAAGTGTATTCTGTTATTTATATACAAGAACAACAACAACAAGAAAAAACATACACAAAACAAACTATTCACATAAAATATAATAATATTAAATGAAAAATCATATATACATATATATATATATATATATATATTGAAAAACATAAAAGGCTGTCTTCTTATTGATGGGCGTCGAGGCGCATAAAATTGTCGCATTTAATTACACGATTTTTGCACACTGGCAATTTTTCCTATAGGGCCTCTGCAGACAAATTGCAGCCGCTGCAGCCATAAAATATGATTTTCCAAACGGGCAGCGCATATTTGATGAATCTCTGTGCATTAATTAATGTCACTGGGCGGTCGCCTGCCGGCTAAAAAAAAATAATAATAAATAAACGGCAAAATGATACTGCCAATAACAACACCAACAGCAACAACAAAAACAAAAACAACAACAACGCGTGCATTAAATTGCATGCGGAAGTAAAAGTTCAATGTTCGTTTGTGCTCCACAATTGATTAGGTCAATAATAACAATAGCAGCAGCAGCAGCAGCAGCAGCCGAGCAACAACAACAACAACATATCAAACAGCAACTCTTTGAACTGAGCGCAGCTTCTCTTGCTTAGACTTAAGCAGCTTTTGATGTGCATGTAGAACTGCATTCTGAGAGATCGCGTGCAAAAGCTCACTCACTCTCTCTCTCTCTCTCTCTCGCTCTCTGTCTGTTTGTCTCTGTGGCGCTGCTGCAACAGGAAGTTCACACATGTGAAGCACGACGCGGATGTGTTGAGCGGCTAGCGCTATAAATAGATACGTTAGCTTTTATTTATTTATTTATTTTTTTTTTGTTTCGTGAAGTTCAGGGAAATCTACTGAGAGAGCAGGCGTAAGTGTGAGAGAGAGAAAGAGACTGTGTAGAGTCGCAGCTGTTTTGCCAAGGTTGCCGCCTAACGGAAAAAAGCTCTCGACGCATTTTGCATTGAACAAAACTGCAATTAATTTGTGCATATGAAATTTTAAATGCAATTTCGCTTGTCGTTTGTGCGATCAGCCGAAAACTTCGCCTCCCAATGTCTTGACCCAGTTACCAGATATTAGTTCGTCATTTATGACACCAAGAAAAAGTAAACCAAAAAAAAAAAGGAGAAAAAATCAACATAAATAACCGCAAGCAGAACTTTCTAAGTGAAAGTTTTCGCCGGGAATGAAGCGACTAGAAAAGTCTGCCATTCCACTTCATTCCACTCCGCAGACTGATTAACTGACTCTCTGGAACTGTTTATACCAAACTTCCACCGTCCCACACTCACACTGAGAGAGAGAGAGAGAAAGAGAGAGAGAGAGGGAGAAATACTCACCATATAACTTGACCTACATTTCTGCAAGACAATAACAACGAAAAAAAATATAAAAAAAAATACAAAAACAAATTGAGAAAAGAAAAAGCAAGAAATTTCCAACGGTACAACGCGTTGGGGCCTGGCGCTGATTCAATGTTTATGAAGCGGTTGTTGTTGTTGGGCTTCACAGACTGCTGTTTCAGTTATGTGTTGTTGTTGCTCTTGCTGCTGTTGATGTTGTTGTTGTTGTGCTTTCAAAAAATTATTATCGTAAAATTGATTTCATTGAAGTTGTCGACGGTGCTGCTGCTGCCTGCCCCTGCACGCGTTTTTTTCTTTTTTCTTTTTTTTACTTTTTATGTATTTTGATAATTAGGCGAAAGGTGAACAAACTCAGCGACTAACTGGAAGTCACCGTAGTTATTGTTGTTGTTATTGTTTTTTTCTTGGGCTCATTGTGGCACGAGTTGGTGTGAAGCTTTAATTTACACATTGTGGCAAAAGAAATCGCAGCTGCTCCATATTTGTAAGTGGCCAAAATTGTTTTTTTTTTTCTTTTTTTTCTCACACTGCAGCAGGATATGGATATTAAATTAATATTGATATTCACATCATATTTTGAGTTTCTTTTTAGAATGTTTTTGAACTCAATATTATTAAATATATACCTCGTAAATAAATAATAAATTGATGCAGACTAAAAATAATAAAGTCTAAAACACAAATTTCAGCATGCCGATCTGCTTATCTTTATTTTCATTTCTTTAAATACATTCTCGAAATACTCATTTTGGGAAATTCTTTTCTAATTAAAGCCCTTTGCTCCAATTTCTATTTATATTTGTAGTTTTATATGTACGCATTTGAGTATAATATTATTTTGAAGCTTCTAAAAATATTTAGAAAATAACAGCATTAAAATATCCTTTTTTTATGTCTCCTTATACATATACGAGTATTTCTAATCTTATTAAAATATAAAGAACAAATAATGAAAATTTGATAAAGTTACTTTGAAATTCTCTTATAAGCATTTAAATATACATATATATATTTTTCAGCACATTGGAATATTGAGAAATAAACATTATTAAACTATGCTTAAGTTTATCTGAACATCTTTGAATCTATTGAAAATATTGAGAAATATAAATAATCACTAAGTTCAAAGTTCCCTTTAACATATATATATATCCAGTTTATAAACATTTTGAAGAATAAACCTTAGTAAAATATGCTAAACTTTATCTGAAGTTCCTTGAAAAGTTTCTTAAAATATATACATTTTTAGCTATACTTAAGATGCTTTGAAGTTCGTTCAGAAATTTCTTAAAACCTTCAAAGCCTCTAAATAGATTTGTTGACCTAAATTTCAAGCATTTAACTGGAAGCGTCGATTTATAACGCTTTAGACTTGGCTGCATCCACTTGCATTCGAGAAAACTCCATTAAATGCCACATCAAAACAAATAAAGCTAACATTAAAAAGCTTCTCGGCAAATGTTTTTCTCCAAACAAAAATTAAGAAAAAAAAACAACAAAAATCTGAGAAAGAAAAAATAATAAACGAAAATAAACCGAAAGCACTCTCACTGCTCTGGGGCAGGCAAAGGTCAATGACATGGTCCAATTTTGTTGTACGACTAATGTTATTTTCATTTGTAAACAACGATGAACAATGAAGAAGACTGCGACGGCTCAAGAGCAATGAAACAACAACAGCAACAACAACAACTGGCTGACAACAACAAAAACAAAAATAAATTCAATTCACTTTCTATTCCAATGAAAAATCGCTCAAAGCTTTTGGCGGCTCCTAAAATCAACAACAGTAACAACGAAAGTGGTAGACAACAACAGCAACAGCAACAACAACAACAGCAACAACAACAACATTTGAGTTTTGGTAGCTGGTCTCTTAACTTGACTTGTTGGCTTCACTTGGCTGGGCAGCAAAAATCCAACGATAGCCGCATTGATCTTCGCTTTCAAGTGCCACTTGGACAGGGGGGCAGGCGGGCAGGGAGGGGCGGTAAACAACGGAGCACGCCTCATTAACAAAAAGGCGGCGGGCACGAGGAGCACCAACAACAACAACAACAACAACAACAACAATAATTTTGTACAATTTGAAAGCGATTTGAAAACTAACGTTTCTCGCTGTTGTTGTTATTTGACTTTAACGGTTTCCGTTTTTTGTCTATTGACTGTTGACTGTTTTGTTTGTTCAGCCAGCAGCAGCAGCAGCAGCAGCAGCAGCAGCAGCAGCAGCAGCTGTTGTTGTCGCTTGTCGCTGTTCATTTGAATATCTGGTGAAAATTTCACCCAGACAAGTGCCTTTTGTTATACATACATACAACATATCTTTCTACAGTTTCAGTTTCAGTTTCATCTGCCTCAAAATATGGTCTGGTAGCAAAAGTTTCTCCTAATTTGCAAATATTGTTAGTTGGCAAAAAGAAAAAAAAACAAAAACAAAACAAAACCATAACAATAACAACAATAATTTGTTGTATATGTTTTTATTGTTTGTTTTCGCATAGTTTTGCAGCGATTCACGTGACGAATGTTACATTTCTGTTTAAGCCTGAATGCGTCATGATCATGTTGACATATCTTTTTGACATGAATTTACATTTGTGTACATTCATTTCTTACATTTTTGTTGCCTCTTGAATATAATATTGTTGCACGCATATTTGTATCACTTTGATTCAAGTGCATTTCAAAGAAGTTAGAACGCTCGAGTCGGGAGAGCTCGACTAGAAGTTGCACTGTTTGCAGTTTGTTAAATTCGAAAATACATTTATGGTAACGATATCCGATCTCAATGAAATCCTCACAGTTGATCAATTATATATCATTCAGTCTCCATTTGATAGCTCAAGTAAAAAGATACTCTGAATATTTCTTTAAAATTCAAAGAATTATTTTAATATGTTTTGCTTAAAAGAATCTGCGTTTTTTTTTAATCAAATTTCAATATAATTTTCATCAGTTGATCAATAATCTAACTGACTATAAAATATATATATTGGAAGGATATATCTTAAAAATAGTGTCTCCTGTTTTCGATTATCGGCTTGCCTCAATATTGTCGACTTTCCAACTGCACGCATCTCATTTTAATATCAATTGTTAAT